ACAGAATGGCATTCAGATTTTTAAAGGAAAAATTACATGAGTTACAGGAGAAAGTAGACAGTAAAACCATCAGGAAATTGAATAAGCCATAAATGAGTTCCCTGTGAGGGAAAACAAACAAACCAGGACCAGATGGATTTGCAAGCTAATTCTGCCGGGCTTGGGGTAAACAAGCATGTGAAGACTTTCTCCAGCAACAAAATGGACAGATGAGTACAGTTTGTTCCATTGGCCATGAAGGCGTCTGATGCAGGCCCTGTGGAACCCTTAGAGCTTGGCAGATGTCGAAGACACCTAGGTCATCTCCTTTACCCCTGGCCATCACCAGTCTTCCTGACTTTTGTCTTGCCACTGGACTTCAATGACTCTGGAAGAGAGAGTGAGGCTGATGACTTTGTGCAGCTCTGCCTCACTTAAATACAATTCACTTGGGAGTCAAGACATCATCCCATGATCTCTTTGGTCCCTCTTCAAAAGTGAAGGATGAACAGTTCTGCCAAACATTTATTTTTTTTAATTTTTTATTAATTTATTTTGATTTCTCAATAATCACTTCCATAAACTTTTGAGTTTTAAATTCCCCCCCTCCTTCCCCAAGACAGCACACAATCTGATATAGGCTCTACATATACATTCCTATTAAACATATTTTCACATTAGTGATGTTGTAAGGAAGAATTAGCACCAATAGAAGGAACTGCCAGAAAGAAGAAACAAAACAGAAGAAAAAAATAGCAAATAGTATGCTTTGATCTGCATTCAAACTCCATAGTTCTTTCTTTGGATGTTTCATTTTCTATGAAACATTTGGAGATGTCTTAGATTCTACCAAATATTTAAAGAACAATTTCAGTACTATGTAAACTATTTAAAAAAATAGGTAGAGTCCTACTAAATACTTTGTGACACAAATATGAGCTTTAAACCTAAATCAGGGGGCGCAGCTAGGTGACGCAGTGGATAGAGCACTGGCCCTGAAGTGAAGAGGACCTGAGTTCAAATCTGGCCTCAGACCAAACACTTGACACTTACTAGCTGTGTGACCCTGGGCAAGTCGCTTAACCCCAATTGCCTAAAAAAAAAACAAACCTAAATCAGAGAGAGCCAAAACAGAAACTATAGACAAATAATGAATATTGATGCAAAAATTTTCAACAAAATACTAACAAGAATATAACAACATATTACAGAGTTCATACGCGGTGACCAGGCTGGATTTATGCCAGGGAGGCAATGCCGGTTCAACATTAGGAAAATTATAATCATGATTGACCATACGAATAAAAAAAACAACAAAAATCACATGATTATTTCAGGAGATGCAGAATAGACTGTGCCAAAATACAACATCCATTCCTGTTAAAACACACACACACTCACATACGCGGGGCAGCTAGGTGGCAGAGTGGACAGAGCACCGGCCCTGGAGTCAGGAGGACCTGAGTTCAAATCGGGCCTCAAACACATGATATTCACTGGCTGTGTGACACCCTAGCTTGTGTGACCAAGTCACTTAACCCTGATTGCCTCACAAAACGCACACACACACCAAAAAGCACTAGAATAAATGGAGCTTTCCTTAAAATGATAAGTGCTGTCCATGTAAAAAAAACAAAAAGCAAGTGTTATCTGTAATGGAGATAAGCTAGAAGGCTTTCTTTCTAGTAAGATACAGGTTGAAGAAAGGAGGTCCATTATCACCATTATTATTCAGTATTGTACTTGAAATGCTAGCTATGGCAATAAGACGAGAAATTACCAACTTCAGCAAAGTTGTAGGATATAAAATAAACCCCCACAAATCATCAGCGTTACTGCATGTTACCAAGAATCCAGGAGAGATAGAGAAATTTCATTTAAAATAACTATTGACAGTATAAAATACCTAAGAATCTGTCTGCCAAGACACACACACCGGGACTTATGGACACAATTTTAAAATATTCTTTACACAAATAAAGACATTTAAATAATTGGAGAAATGTTCATTTCTCATAGGTAGACCACACTAATGTAATAAAAATTATAATACTACTTAAATGAATTTACTTACTCAGTGTCATTCCGATCAAACTACCAAATAATTACTTTATAGAGCTAGAAAAAATAGTAACAGAAAAACCTGGAAAGACTCACATGAACTGATGGTGAGTGAAGTGAGCAGAACCAGGAGAACATTGTGCAATGACCAACTTGGTAGACTTAGCTCTTCTCAGCAATACAATGCTCTAAGACAATTCCAGAGGACTCATGATGGAAAATGCCATCCACATCCAGAGAAAGAACTGTAGAGTCTGAATGCAGATCGAAGCAGACTGTTTTCACTCTTTGCTTTTTGTTTTTTCTTTCTCATGATTTTTTTTTTTTTGTTCTGATTCTTCTTTCAAAATGATTGTACACATATAATCTCTATCAGATTGCTTGCTGTCTTGGAGAGGAGGGAGGAAAAAAAATTTGGAACTCAAAATGTTACAAAAATGAATGTTGAAAACTATCTTTACATGTGATTGTAAAAAATAAAATAACAAAATAATAAAATTTATCTGGAGAAACAAAAGGTCAAGAGGGGCCTAGCATTAACCAAATCTCAACCGTGACTACAAAGCTATAATCCCCTCCCCAAAAAATGGCATTATGTAAGAATAGAGAGATTGGTAAAATAGAACAAATTAGATACGTAATATATAGACGCAAACAAGCACAACAACCTAGTGTTTGATAAGCCCAAAGCTCTTCAGAGAAGAATTTGCTCTTTGACAAAAACTCTTGGGAAAACTGGAAAGTAGTTTGGCAGCAACTAGGCAGAGATCCGTGTTCACACCATATGCCTACCAAGATCGGCTCAAAGTGGGCATGTGATTTATACGTAAAGAATGATATCATAAATGAGTAAAGCATGGAAGAAATCACCTGTCAGATCTGTGGGTAGGGAAAGAGTTCATGATCACACAAGAAATAGGTTCACAGAAGGTAAAATAAATAATTTTGATTGCATAGAAGTAAAAGTTTTTCTGCACAACAGAACCAGTGCAGTTAGCAGCATATGAAAAGCAAGAAGATTGAGGGGGCAGGGACTTTTTGCCACAAGTTTCTTGGATAAAGGTATCATTTCTAAAATATATAAGACATGTATAACCTATATCAGATTACATACCATCTTGGGGAGGGGGAAAATTTTAGAACTCAAAATTTTTTAAAAGTGAATGTTGAGAACTAAAAATAAATAAATATATTTAATTTAAAAAATAAAATATATAAGGAACTGAGTCAAATTTACAATAATAACCATTCTCCAATTGATAAATGGTCAAAAGATAGGCATAGACAGTTTTCAGAAGAAGCAATCCAAGCTATCAATAGCTATATGAAAAAAATGCTCTAAATCAATGATAATTAGAGAAATGTGAATGAAAACAAATGCAGCACCACCTCATACCCATCAGATTGCCTAAGATGAAGAAAAAGGAAAATAAATGCTGGAGAACATGTGGGAAAATCAAGGCGCTAATGCATTGTTGGTGGAGTTGTGAACCGACCCAACCGTTCTGGAGAGCAATTGGGAATTATGCCCAAAAGGTTATTAAAATGTGTATACCCTCTGACCTAGCAGTACTGCTAGAATATATCTACCCCAAATATGTTAGGGACCGGAATCTTGGGTCTTGAATCATTGACGATTCACTTTTTTCTCCTCAGGATGAGGAGGTAAACAGAAGAAAGGTAAACAGAAGAAAGGAAACGATCTATATGTACAAAAATGTAGCAGCTCAGGGGGCAGCTAGGTGGCGCAGTGGATAGAGCACCAGCCTGAAGTCAGGGGAACCTGAATTCAAATTTGGCCTCAGACCAAACACTTGACACTTACTAGCTGTGTGACCCTGGGCAAGTCACTTAACCCCAGTTGCCTAAAAAATAAATAAATAAAAATAAAATGTAGCCGCTCTTTTTGTAGTGGCAAAGAATTGAAAACTGAGGAGATGCTCCTCAGTTGGGGAGTGGCTAGACAAATTATGGTATATAAAGGTTGTGGAATGTTATTATGCTGTAAGAATGAAGGGGATGGTCTCAGGAAAACCTGGGAAGATTTGTATGAACTGATGCGAAGTGAAGTGAGGAGAACAGTCCACGCAGTAACAGCAGTGTGGTAAAGATAATCCACTGGGAAAGACTTCCTAGTGCTGATCAGCATGATGGCCCATGACAGTTTCACAGGATTCGTGCTGAGACATGTTCTCTACCTCCAGAGAGAGCGGATGGAGGTTAGATAGAAGTGTGTCGTTCTCTTTCTCTTGCTCTTTTTAAAACATGGCCAGTGTGGACATTTGTTTTGCGTGTTTGTAATTGCTTTTGTTTATCCTGACTCCTCATTGGATGGGGGAAGAGGTAGAGGAAGGGTGAGAATTTGAAACTTTAAAAAAAAAAGAGTTTTAAAATCTCTGTGCTTTAAATCTAAAATAAGAAGATCTTTGGTGCACCAAGCGCTCTGCAGTCTGACCCCAGGTCTCCTTTGCTGCTTTATCTCCACTTATTTCCCCCCATGAACCCCATACACCAGCCAAATTGTTTGGCCCAGTCTAATACAGGAACTCTAGGGGCTTCTTTGTCTTTGTTTCATCCTGTGCCCTTTCCCTGGAAGGCCTGCCTCTTTAGCGTCCCCTTCCCAGATCAGCGTAGTACACGGTGTTCTTACCTACCACGAACTCCTGAGATTGACAGCTTACCCCATTCCTTTGGCAAATGATCACAACTCTTGTGTGGTTATTTAATTTTCTATGTGCTCTTGCGTCATTTCCACAGTGAGCCTATGTTCGTGGAATCAGAACATCCTAGATCTTAAGGCACTTGTCGAGATGGGAACCACGTCTAACACACCTGTGTATCTCCCCCATGGTGCCCACATAGAATAGTGACAGGCTTGATGAGTGTTTGTGGAAAGATCGATCCTGAAGTTATTTCATGGTTAGGAATAGAGGCTATTTCTGTTGTTTTGTGTTTTCTAGGATGAAACGGAGAAGAAGGATGAAAAAGAAAAGAAAAAGGAAGCTGAGCCAAGCTTCCAACTCTTGGATAATCCAGCCCGAGTTATGCCCGCACAGCTTAAGGTCCTCTCCATGACTGAGACCTGTCGATACCAGCCTTTTAAACCTGTGAGTTACACAAAGCCCACACGTTGTGCTAATGTGAAAGATTGTGAGAAGTGAGCAGGATTCTAGATCCGAACCGTTGGGTGGGGGTACTTGCAGCCACAGTCCTTTCCCCGTATCTCTGTGATTTCTGAGAAATCCCCTCTGACTCAGTGTCCAGGGGCCTCCTGCTGGCCACCGCAGTGAGCTGAGGAAGGAGGCAAAGCCAGGTGGCTAAAGGTCTGCCTCTGGCCATTGGGCGAGAGTGGAGATGGGGGCTTCTTGTGTTCCCAGAGGAAGACCAGTAAGTTTAAGCAGTTGAACAACTTTTAAAATCTTTCCTGGCCTTTCCTATCCCAGCTTCCAAGGAGAGTAGCCAGGCTCCAAGGTACCTTCTTCTCCTCATTTAGTGCTGAATTTATCCTACCAAGGACTTCACCACATGGCACGGGAAGGTGGTCTCCAGCCAGTGTTATTTGTGGCAGACACTGACCCACTGTTGACCCTCACAGTCTTGGACGGACCCTACCTTGGCAACATAGCCATGGTGGCAATGTGAGACGCACAGAATAGCAGAAGGGCTGTATGTCTGCCCGTAGGATATTCTGATGCCATCATTGTTGATGCTAACCTTTTTGTAATTGTTTAGAGTTTCCAACTCACTTCCTTACGACCCTGTAAGAAAACTTAAGTGCAGTCGTCCACCTTTCCCACGTTCTCTGAGAGGTGACCTAGTTTGGGTCACACAGAAGGGGCCCGTCCCAACTCCGAATGTGTTGAGCTCTGGTTCTCCTTCCTCCGTGCCACGCTGCTCTCAGAAGCAGTCATGGACATATGTTTGCCTTGTCCTCTGTCCTTTTGTCTCTTACTGTCAAGGCCCAATATTTCTGAGAGGTCAGACAGTCTGTTGGGTATTGGGAATGTGAGCCATAGTAGTGTCAGTTACTGGTATTCCACATTAGCAGAGTGAGCAGGATAAAGTGAAGGGACTCAGGACATGAAGGAGTCGTACTGTTAACAGTCATAACAGACTGTTTGCTGTTCGCCCAAGAAGTGTGGACAGGCACAAGGCAAGCATTCCACCGACTCAGAAGTGGGCACGCGCCTTCCTGGCTGAGATATGTGTATCACAGGTGAGAGTTAGTCTTTCTGTTCAAGGCGGGGAGACCACAAAAGTGAGAGGACCTCCTTCATACCCTGGCTTATGACAGTGCCTGCAGGATTCAGAGCACAGGAGCCACAGAATAATGAGAAACAAAGGCAGAATGAGAAATCGGGGCGTAACAGGGGTCACGTGTGCATAGAGGAGTCACTGAACACTAACACAGACGCACAGGTACCAGCAAACCAAAGGTATCCATCCTATGATCGGCTCCAAGAAGAGGTTGCCGTGTGGGGTTGTTCACTCCCACAGGTGGCTTGTCCAGAGGCTTGGTGAGGCCTGGGCTACTCACTAGCAATCTTGCCACTGCTCATCAAGTGTGATCTGTTATTTCAGGGAAGGGTGCTACATGTTGGCAGTGAGCATAAGAAAGTGGGGGTCAAAGGCCACATACTTGGAGGAAAGAGGTGCCACTCTAACGGAGACAATAAAGAAAGGAAATTGAGTATTGGTCTAATACACCAACAAAAGCCACGCTGCAGGGGAGGATCAAGACAAACCACAGGTATCAGAGGAGTCCTAAAACTTGTCTTCACCCTAAACCTGAAGTTACAATGATAGAAGACTTAAGCAAAAATGGTTCTGCCAAGCGTCACCCCAATGAATCTGCCAAATAGCCTCCATGGCTTCTGCGGCCTACGCTTCTTACCTTCCATAGGCTGTCTTCAGTCCTTCCAGGGATCTGTATTTCCATGGGGTGAATATTCCCTCCACTGAAACAGATTGCAGTCCATCCAGGCCTTCTCATCCTGTCTGCTTCTTGGACGTGTTCTCCACGAGCACGTATGTACCACACTCGGGCTGTCCATCTCTCACTGGCCCACCTCCTTATTTCATCCTATGTTTCTTTCAACTCAGGTCCCTGTTGATGGTAAGCCACATCTGCCGCATCATTGCCCTTTGGGCATTGAGTTGTCCACCACTTTGATTGTGGTAGTCTACAAATAGCAGGATTGGGAGATCACCTAGGGTTGAAAAGATGGTTTGGGTTTGTTTGTCTTGTTTGCCAAGGAGCAGCTCAAGGTCATTGAAAGCAACACCCAGCAGCCCACTGTCCTCCCCCTGTTCCACGCTGGGTCCACCTGTAGGGCCTGTACCAAACACACCCCACTTGACCCCTGACTGCATGGACTGGCCATCCAGCTGTATTACGGAATTGCCGTCCACAGCAGGCTTACTACATTCATCCAATTTTTCCTCTGTGGGTTGTGAGGTGAAGCTCTTTAAATGAGTCACAGACAGAAGCCTCTGGAGCACCTGGTGATCTCTCTGACCCTTTGCTCTTTGGACTCTGCATAGAATACCTTCTGTAACAGTGAAGAATGGTGGATTAGAAGAAAGAACAAGACACAATATGTAGTTGCAGCCACTTCAGTCTGATCTATTCAAATGAGCCTTCGGTGCCATCGATTGAGAAATGGGAAAAAGATGGCTACTGGCCATGGTTATCACCATTTCCTGGAAAAGTAGAAATGATTTGAAGCAGATAATGAAGATCCAAAGAGCCCAGCGACTGGCCACTCCATCTCCTTGTCATAGAGCAGTGGCACTGTGCATCTGTAGCCACAGCAGAGGTGGCTTTTGCGAGATTCTAAGTTGTACCGTGTCACGAAACAGCCGAAAACACTGGCATGGACCGCCGTGTCCCAGAACACCTGGGTGCATGGAGATGGGGGCGGAGAGCATTGCAGGAGGGGCAAGAGAAGTGCTGAGTGGTGAGACTAGGCAGAAAGCAGCGTAGAACGGTTAGAATGGTCGACATTTTGAACCCTCTGTGGTCATCACCGACCCATGGAGCACCAAGAGCTTGATCTCCAGGCTGAGGAAAAGCAGACTTGGGAGAAGCAACTGGAAGAAGCTGTGCTTCCTGAGGGCAACCAATGGCTGGAAGCATCATTGCATCTTTAACTGGGTTCAGTGAAGCCTCTGGAAAGAGTAGCATAGAGGGCATTGAGGCTCTGATTTACGTGGGACTGATGTGGCCTCATTCTATCCAGGGATTTCTCCAAAGTGACTCTGACATCACGGCCCACCACAACTGTGCCCGCTCCCCCCTAATCAGTCACTTGTCTGTAGAGCTTTAAAGTCAACAAGATGCCTCCTTCACAACAGCCCTATAAGGATTATGGTCCCCAAATTACTCAGACTCAGAGACATAAAGCAGGATCCCCAAGACCACACAGCTGATTAGGCTTCAGACTCAGGTCTCCTTGCCTCTAGGTGTACAGCTCCTTCCACTAGCCCTGCTGCATCATTTGTATACTTATATGTGCATGGCACCATAAGGGCCGCACGAGGGACCACCACATGGCCCTTTGGTCCAGGATGATCCAGCAGCAGAGATAAAACTTGAACACCACCAAGCAGCATTGAAGGGCAGTAATCTGCTTTACAAACAGAGGGAGGAAGTGACCAGCAGAGCCTTCAGGGAGGAGGGTGTGTTTAAGCTAGGCTTTGCAGGATGGTTAAGATTCACTCGACAATCATGGGGGCTTCGGACATTCCAGGAAGGGAGAAGAAAGTATAGACAAGAAGTGGAAAATGCCATTGAGGAACAGCAAGTAATTCGAGTTCATTGGAGCCTAGAATATGAGGCAGCAGAGAGTGAGACAAGACTGGAAAGGTTGGTAGGAATCCCCTGGCCTAGGGCCATGAATCCCAGCCTAAGGAATTGGGCCCGAGGGTTTAGACCCTAGGGGAGCATTAAGCCAGAGATCAACCCTGGCAAACCAATGCCTCAGGAACCAAATTGGGTAACGAATGGATGTACAGGGGCAGCCATTAGCAAGAGCCTAGCAGCTCTGAGTGGGGCAGTGGAAGAAAAGAAGGGTACCATCGATACGTCTCCCCCAGCTGGGAAACGTAAGAGGCAAGGGAGTAGTATTTCAGTGCAGCTCCTGGCCACGCTGCAGGCTTATGCCCTTCATTTTGTTTTCCTAAGTTTAGTGCTGAACTGAAGGCCTTGGTCATGACGGGAGACTCAGACTGCTTTGCCAACCTCCTCCAGCCCACATGGCAGACGCTGTTGTTGATACATTTACGTAAAACAGGTGTCGTGCTGCATGTCGGCAGAACCAGACTTCACAAAGTGCTGGTGGGCCCCTCGCCTCTAGCATCGAAGGCACCTTTTCTACAGACCAACCCAGCTCAGTCCGGTTGCACGTTTGTAGAGAATGAATTGTGGATAACAGTCAGTAAAAATTTATTAGGTGCCTGCCACGTGCCAGGCACTGTGCTAAGTGCTGGGGGTATAAAAAGAGGCAGCAGACAGTCCCTACCCAAAGGGCTTACAGTCTAATGGGAGAGACAAAAAGCAAATAGATAGATACAACACACGCTATATACAGGATAGCTAGGAAATAATTAGCAGAGGTAAGACCCTGGAATTAAGAGGAATTGGGGGGAAGGCTTCCTGCAGGAGGTGGGATTTTAATTGAGACTTTTTTAAAAAGCCACAGAGGTCAGGCAGGGTGGAGGAGGGAGAGCATTCCAGCGATGAGGGACAGCCAGAGAAAACGTCTGGAGATGAGAGATGGAGGGTCTTGTTGGTGGGCCAGCCAGGACACCAGAATCCTTGTTGGGGAATAAGGTGTAAGAAGACTGGAAAGGTAGGAGGGGCAGGTATGAAGGGCTTTGAATGCCAAACGGTCTCATTTGTAGTTAATCCTGGAGGCCATAAGGAGCCACTGGAGTTTGATTAAGGGAGTAACGTAGTCAGGTCTGTGCTGAATGGAGGATAAACTGGAGCTTGAAGACTTGAGACAGGCAGACCCACTCACAGGTTAGTGCAGTAGCACAAGCATGGGGTGATGAGGGCCTGCAGCAGAGGTGAAATCACAGGCGTTGGCACCATATTGGATATGAGGGAGAGGGGCAGGAGAGATGGTGGGGATCCAGGATGACTGCTAGGTTGTGAGTCTGAGGGACTGGGAGGAGGGGGGTGCTCTCTCTGGTGATAGGGAAGTGGGGGAGGGGGGTTGGAGGAAAGATTAATCTGTTTTAGACAATTGAGTTCAAGGTGTCTGCTGCACATCCAGTTCAAGATGTGGGAAAGGCAGTTGGAGAGGAGAGATTGGGAGTCAGCAGAGATTGGGACAGGATGGGTAGATTTGAGAATCATCAGCCTAGAGATAGTCATTAAGGCCATGGGAGCTGATGAGATCAGCCCATGTGTAGAAGGGGCAGAGGAGAGACAAGACAAGGATGGGTTCTGGGTAGAGGGAGCCATCTAAGTGAGGGTGTCGAGAGACAGAAGCGGTTCTTGGGTCTACAAAGAAGGGGGTGCCTGGTGAGCTCAGTGCTTCACCCACCGTACGTGCTCTGTGAATGCTGCAGAACAACATGGTGACGTCATGGGAAGAGCCCAGAGACCTGGGGTCCAGTCCTGGCTGTCCCATTTATTCCCTGTAAGTGAGTCATTTAACTTACTGGGCCCTCCGTTTATTTACTTATCTATCCAATGGAAAGAGGAGAGTGATTGATTGGACGCTGTTCTCTGAGGTCTTTGAGTCTCATAACGGTGAGGCACGCTGCTCCTCCCAGGGCACTGGGCAGCATGGGAGGCCAAGCCCTGGACCAAAGGGCCCGCTGGTGGGGCCTGCAAGGAGCATTGAGCACCAGGATGGGAGCAGATGCCGCTGTGCTCCCCCACCCATCCTAAATGTAGCACAGAAAGAAATTGTGCAGAACCTGGAGGCAGGAAGGGCCCCCTCCTTCCCCCAGACCTGGAGTCCTATCAGCCTTTCCAAAGAACAGAGGAGGCTGTTCATTATAACTGGAGCCCCACCGAGGGCTGGCTACTAATGAAGCTTCTCTCCACAGCCTGAGAAAGCCCCCTCCACTTGTTGGTTAGGGAAGGAAAGTCAAGTGGGATCCCCCCTCCTCTGCCCAGAAGGCGAGGGTGGTGTCGTGTGAGCACAGGGGGCTTGGAGGTTTGGGGCTCTGATCGATGCCCTTCTGTGGGTGAGCTTTAACTACTTAAGATTCGAGGTTGTTAGTTGTTGTTCAGGGAGGATGCTAGGAGCCAGGCTGGGATCCATTCCTTCAACTGAGCTTTTGTGTGGGGGTAAGGGAGCAGCATAGACTTGTATTCATGTACACGATTTTAATTTGAATAGGGGCAGAAACATCTGGCTGAGACTGATCACGTGTGAAACGCTGTCACGGAGGTGACTTATCTAGTTGTAGAAATGTGCTCCTTTCAGATGGGTGCCTGCAGCTATGGAATGAATTATTAGTATCACTAAGGGCAATGTTCCCTGGTACTGACAAGCAGAGAGAATTAGGGAAATGACTCTGGCCATGAGTGAATGGTTTGTTATTTTAATTGACAATTTCTGTCATTGGTAGGCTAATGGGCAACTGGGTTGATTTATCTCTTAATTTGATCCTTTGGAAATCTTGTTTTGCACCCCCTCCTCGCCAACCCTGCCAAAAGTTTGTGTGCTGAACTGAGGTGCCCTCGGCAGGGAGCCCAGACCTGCATGGGACCTGTCCATGATAGAAAATCAGAGGTCCCAGTGCCTTTGGGGTTATGAGGTGGTCTTCCTATGTTACACGCGAGTGCACACACGAGCACGCGCACACACACACACACACACACACGCACACGCTTGTGCACGTGAAAGGAAATCTTTAAATATGAAAAATGAACAGATACTGGTTTCCACACCGTAAGTGTTAAGCTGCTCAGAACAGTTTCTTTTGTGTGTTCTTACAGACTGGGGGTCTCTCCTTTGGGTCACAACTGGGCGGGGGGGGGGGGTTGGGCTGAGTAGTTGCTCCCGCCTGGACAAAGAGGCTAAAGGGGTTTGCTTGAAGAGTCCCTGTTAGCACTGAATAAGAGAAAAGACTGGACCGTGGTGGGCTGTTGATTGCTCTAACCACCTGGGACCCAGACGAGGCAGGGTCGGGGCTGTCCACTGCCTGAGCAATGCCTGAGCGTCTCAGTCAGGACGCTATGAGGAGGTCTCCTTATTCCAGTTTCATAGATGAGGAGGTAACACAGCTCTCAGCAGCTGTGAGGGGTCTGGCTCCTGGTACAGTGGGCGGGAAGAGCCGGAGCCTGAGACCTCCTGCAGGAGGGGAGGCCGGACGTCTGCCTCACTGCCCCTTGCCCTCTGCTTGCCTTGCAGCTCTCCATCGGAGGCATCATTATCATGAAGGACACCAGTGAGGACCTAGAAGAATTGGTGGAGCCAGTTGCTGCTCACGGCCCCAAGATCGAGGAGGAGGAGCAGGAGCCGGAACCACCAGAGCCCTTTGAGTACACGGATGACTGAGGCCTGGAGGTGGGTGAGGCCTCGCATCTGGCTGCGTCTCCTTCCTTCCGTGTTATTAGTATCCCTCCCCTCCCCGCTGCCTGGTATGGTAAGCGATCAGGCACAGGTTCTCCGTGTGAAATGTTTCCACATTAGTCATTCTGTACAAGAAGACCCAAACAAAAAAGCACGAAAAGAAGAAAGCGAAGGGTAGCCTGCTTCATCGTTAGTCCGTTGGGATTGTCTTGGAGCATTATTGCTGAGAATGGCAAAGTCATTCACAGTTGATCATCATACAGTGTTGCTGTAACTGTATACAGTGTTCTGGTTCTACTGATTTCACTGTGTCAGTTCATGTAAGTCCAGGTTTTTCTGAAATCTGCCCGCTCATTGTTTCTTATACTACGGTAATATTCCTTCATAATCATATACCACTTTTTCAACCGTTCCCAAATTGGTGGGCGTCCCCATGATTTCCAATTCTTTGCCACCACAAAAAAAACTGCTATAAATATTTTTGTACAAGTAGGTCCTTTTTTTTTTTTTAAATCTCTTTGGGATATAGACCTAGCAGTGGTGTTGCTGGATCAAAGGGCATGCACAGTTTGATAGCCCTTTGGGCATAGTTCCAAATTGCTCCCCAGAATGGTTGGATCATTTCACAGTTCTACCACCAGTGCATTAGTGTCCCATTTCTCCCACATCCCCTGCAACATTTATCATTTTCCTTTTTTTGTCTTATTATAGATGTGAGTGTGAGGTGGTACCTCAGAGTCGTTTTAATTTGCATTTCTCTAATCACATTAGAGCATTTTTTCATATGACTGTAGATGGCTCCAATTTCTTTGTCTGAAAATTGCCTGTTTATATCCTTTGCCCATTTATCAATTAGAGAATGACTTGTATTCTTACCAGTTTAATTCAATTCTTCATATATTTGAGAAATTAGACCTTTTTCAGAGATACTTGCTATAATGTTTTCCTTTTTCAGTTTTCTGCTTTCCTTCTAATTTGGGTTGCATTGGTTTTGTTTGTGTAAAAATTTAAATTTTATATAATCAAAATTATCCATTTTACATTTTATAATTCTCTGTATATTTTGTTTGGTCTCTAATTTCTTCCCTTATTTATAGATCTGACAGGCAAGCTATTTTGATTCTAAGAATGCTTGCTTTCATTCATTGAGCAAGTACTGAGTCTCTTGCCCAGGGGCAAGGCAGGCAAGGTTGGGCCCCGAGCCCCACGCTGAATCACAGTGAGCCTTAGGCAGCTCCCCCACCACCACCCAACCCAGTGTGGGGTGGGAATTCTGAAAGGCTTAGTAATATGAAGAGGGCTCATCTCCCAGGGCACCTAAGTGACGTTACAGCAGTTAACCAGAAGAACCTGGTTCTTCTCTGGGGCAGCCCTCCATGTGAAGGCTCTTGGAATCCATAGACTCTTTGGATTGGAAAGGAACCCGAAGGCCATCTGAGGCCCTGCCTCCCAACAAACGTGAACCAAATACAGCTTCAGACAGACGGGAGCCTGTTCTGTTCTTACAGATGTACGATGAGATACGTTTTACACTTGACTTTGGTGTCGCATCTCCTTATCAAACACTTTGTTAGAAGGTTCCTCTGCCTGACGTTTTTTCTGCCTGCTCTAGATTACACATAGGAGGTGGAGAAATCAAAACTACCTTGTTCATTGTCTTTTGTTTTTTCTCCATTTGAGGTCAATCCTAATAGTGTGTTTGTAGAAATTTTGCATTTTCATTTGGAAGTTTATACCTGTGGAATATAAGTTTGCTTATTGCTTCTCCAGAAGCACTGGTGTCTTGACTGTGCCCAGTAAATAAAGTTCTTTGTTTTTTAGCATCAGTTAAAAAGTCACCAGTCAAAATTAGAGACCTTTTTAAGGAAGAAAAAAGGAAATCTAGCCATTTTCCAAAGCCAGTTGTAGAAGCAGATCAGGGATTGTTGCACGTGCCTTAATGCTTGAGGCTTTTTGCAGATGTAAGTGGCGATAAGTGTGAGCCCCGAACAGGGAGAGCGCAGCTGGACACAGCCCTGGAGCGAGGGAGGAGGAGAGGGGCGCTAGCTAGTCCTACTGGAAACGTTCTCTCCTGCCACTTTCCTGAGCCCTCCTTCCCTGGGCGGTGCCGGATGGCGCTGGGCCCACGAGCCAGATCAGGGGCGGCCACTTTCCGTCATTTCAGTGATCCAACTCTGAGCCTCAGGTTAAGTCAGCCCTGGGGCAGTGACTGCCCATTAGCTTAGACAGTCACTGTTGGAAATTAACATGAGATTGTTTGCTTTGGGGAGGGGAGGGAGTGGAGTTCACCCCAAACCAGAAGAGATCACTGGCTTGAGATGCTTTGTTTGTTTGTTTGTTCCACCGTGAAATCTGGTGGGTCCCCAACATCGGGGCCCTCAGGAGCCAGATGGCAGCTTTAGCCCTCCCTAGCTGGGCAAACAGCCAAGAGGTCTTTTGGAAAGAAGAACAGATCTCTCTTTTTTCCTTCTCTCTCCAGAATCTCATTCACCCATTTCCAGAAGATTGCCGAGTCTGATATTGGAAATAACATCCATGAGGAAGTTCCTGCCGAGACCTGCCATTCAATGCATGCACGGTTGCCTCTGTGCTGACCTCGAGAAGCCAGTCTGAATCTCGGTGGAAGAAAAGCTGGATGGCTGTTTAGTATACTCTTACACAAACAAAACGTGGTTTTCAAATAAACGTATTAAAATCTCCAGCCGGCTTTTTCGCTTTTTGTCTAGCTTTGTCTTCGGGTTTTCAGAATGATGGTTGTCTTCTTACCCTACGTCCCACCCAACCAGGTTCGAGGAGAAGTTTTGCCTGGGCTGAATGGTCTGTTCGGTAAGGGGAAGGAAGGGTCTCAGCAGCCAGCACCAGCCAGTAGCCTCTGCTTGTGGGGGCCAGCCTCGTTCTGGGGAAGGAGGGTTGGTGCAATAGCTTGGCCTTTACACCCTTAGCCTTTGGGAGGCCTTGCTGGTCAGGCCCGAAGCTGGGCCTCAGGGTTACACTGTCCGATTCATTTGGGTTCAGCCATTGTTTAAATATTTGTCACTTAAGCAAGGCTTGTGGTACCCACTGAGGGTGCAGCTACCCAGAAGTAGAAGAAGAAGAAAGAGCTGGGGAGTGGCATTCGTGGGCACAGAGGAGGAAACCAGGGACAGCTTCAGTCCCAGTGCTTTGGCACAATGTGTGGAGAAGTGAGCGTGACAAACAGGCGCTACTTTGGGCATTTTCTAGGCCTTAGAAACATTCCACGTGTGTCTTCTTGTGAAAGCTGCTACGCCCGGCACCTGGCTCATCTGTCTTAAGGCAGATCCTGGCGAGACTGGCTGTGCGTATGATTCATCTGTCCGACATCGGGGGATGGTGTTGGGTCTGCTTCCAGAGGTTCCTATTGGCCCCAAAGGAGACTGCAAACTTGGCTCAGCTGGCAAGCTAATTTCATTGGGACCTCTTCTTTCTAAAAGCCTCATTTCCTCCATATCGGATGATTTTTGTAAGAGTTGATCTCATTTCCTCAGCCGCTCATTATCAGTGTCCTTCCTGTTCAGACCCTTAACCCACTTGCCCTTCAGACGGTGTTATCACATAGGACATGTCCATAAACCAAAAGCCACTCACAGTCACCATTCAGAACTGAGAGGCCAAGGGAAGTAGGATATTCGTGTTTTTTTAAAACCCGTTTATTCTTACTACCTTTTGTATCATTACAAATCCTATTTCTCTTGCAACTTTTCATATTGACCTACCAGAATTGATTTACTCCCTGAGTTGCTACAAAGGTCCATTCTTACTTTCTGGACCAGAATTCTGTCTCTAGCCTAGCACAGCATTTTAAATAGCATCTACCCCACCCCCAATATTCTGTCTTTGAAAATGGGGGCTTAAATTCTACTTTTCAGGACCAGAGAAAATAAATAGGGTAGTTAGGTGGGCTTGTAGATAGAGCACTGGGCTTGAGGGCAGGAAGATGAGTTCAAATACCACCCCACATACCACAGCGGGGTAACCTCGAGCATATCACTTCTCTAAAACAGTTTGATCTTCTGTGAAATGGGTATAATAGTAACTCTCAGGCTTGCTATGAGGTTCAAATGAGAATTTCTGTAAAGGGCTTTGCAGGTCTTAAAGCACAATATCAACGTGACCTATTAATATTTTTACATTTCCTTATGTAGCCCCCTCCCAGACATCTCTCCCATATGATAAAGAATTTTATAAAAGGGGGCTGAAGCACCAATAAAAAAAAAAGTGGCAGCTAGGTGGCACAGTGGATAGAGTTCCGGCCCTGGAGTCAGGAGGACCTGAGTTCAAATCCGGCCTCAGACACTTGATACTAGCTGTGTGACCCTGGACAAGTCACTTAACCCTGATTGCCTCAACAACAAAAAAAAGGAGGGGGGAGTGAGAGAGGGAGAAGGGGAAACGATTCAACAAAATAACCAAGAAACTAAACTGTGCCGAATTTCACCCCCATAGCCCCCATCTCTGCACAGAAGTATGGGCAGGTGCCTTCTTGTGTTTCTTCTGTGGAATAAAGCTTGGCCATTTAATTTCACAGTTTTTAGTTTTGATCATTTTTTTTTTAAATATTCTCTCCATTTACATTGTTATCCAGTCATTTCAGTCATGTCTGACTCTGCATGACCCCATTTGGAGTTTTCTTTTTTCTTTTTTTTTTTTTTTTTTTTTGGTTAGGCAATGAGGTTAAGTGACTTGCCAAGGGTCACACAGCTACTAAGTGTTATGTGTCTGAGGCCGGATTTGAACTTGGGTCCTCCTGACCTCAGGGCCAGTGCTCTACCCACTGGGCCACCTAGCTGCCCCTGGAGTTTTCTTGGCAAAGATACTAAAGTGGTTTGCCATTTCCTTCTCCAGCCCATTTTACAGATGAGGAAACTGAGGCAAACAGAGTTAAGTGACTGTCCAGGGTCACACAGCTAGGAAGCATCTGAGGCCAGATCTGAACTCAAGATGAGTCTTCCTGACTCCAGGCCCAGGGAGTCAGTAGTTACTGTGTGTATTGTTTTCCTGGTTCCTCACTTTGCATCAGTTCATATAAGCCTTCCACGTTCTTCTGCATTCTTCCTGTTCATCGTTTCTTATGGCACAGCAATATCCCGTCATATTCATGTATCACAGTGTCACAATTAATTTATTAGCCTTTCTTTTACAGAAGGGCATCGATTTTGCTTCCATGAAAAACTCCGGGATCCTTTCTTTATCGTCAACATCAGAGTAGATGCTTCCATCGGACCTGTCCCTTCAGCAAGAACCACTAACATTCCTCCCGTAGAAGTCCCAGGAGCAGCCTCATGAAGCAACCCCACGGTCAAATGATGGTGAACAAATTCATCCTTTCATTTCGCGCTGAGAAAGCTTGGCGGCTTCAGACCGTCTGAGCTCATGATCTGTGTCCAGCCGGGAAGACCATTGGTTAGGTGAGATTTGCCTCTTCATTCTGCCATAATCTGAGGAAAATACCAATGTTGGGGAAAAGATCGCAAGGAAAAGAAATCTGAAATAAGGTTGAGAGGAGATCATCAACCACTGATGGAAAATTGGAAATGGAGAGGAATAGATTTCGTAGGAATAAGCACATACGAGAGTGTTGGAATCAACCCCCTTCTCCCTTCCACGTCTTAACATCCCTAGGTTCCTTCCAGACCCAGACCAGCTGTTCCCTCCATGCCGCCCAGCCCTCCTTGATCACTCATCTGTTACCTTGCATTTACATCTTCTCTCTCCCTCATGAGAATGTGAGCCCTTGTGGGAAGGAGCTGGGTTTTCATTTTTGTCTTTATCTGGATCCCCAGAAGCTAGTAACTGTTTCTTGGATCGAACATGACATCCTGCTTTGGACATAGGAAGCAACTGAGCAATAAATGTTTATTTTTTAAGTATATGAGCAAAATTAAAAGATCAGATGTGCTAGAAACCATTGCTACTAGTGCCTTTGAGATGTCCAGCCTTTTGTAAGTATGAAGGCAGGAAGAAAAGTCTTGTTCATCTAGTCCACAAACATATCAGGCACCTACTATGTGTAATGCAGCCTAGGCAGAACAGCAGCATTAAATACAAATGAATGGTCTGTTTCATTACGTGAAGAATTCAGTTAAACAAGCATTTATTACGGACAATTAAGCTGATGTTACAAGGCCGTAGAATGCTAATGAATTAGACCAGTAGCCATGGCAACCCTAGCCCGTCGTGACGGATAATCGGCCTCTTACATAAAGAGATAAATCAGAAGGAAATCGATTTCACATCCCTCCTCCTCTCCTTCCCCTCATTATACCGGAAGCCCTGGCAGTGACCCTGCCATGACAAAAGGCGATGGTCACAGTGACATTTCAGATGAAATAATTGCATGGTTTTGTTCCAAATCATTCACACTGGAAGAGCTCACGCTCTGTCCTCGTTGCCATTGGGGTGCATACAGGCACATCACATTCCCAAGTAGAGAATTTCCCAGAGCTGGGAAAGGTTTCTGGTTGTAGGGTCTTAGAATCTTAGAGGTGGAAGGGCAGAGACCAAGGCTGAGCGTTGTAACTTTCTAGACCGTTAAAGCTGGTCCAGCCACCCCTGGTAGATGGGTAGTGCGAGATAGTGGATAGCACCCAAGCTTAAAGTGTCAAGTCTGGCTCTGCCACGTAACCAGCCAGATGACCATAGACAAGCCTTTTCTAAGCCTCGGTTTTCCTCTTTGTAAGTTAAGCATAATACTTGTAGCACCTTCCTTAGAGGATGAAGATGAAATCACAAAGTCGGAAGGGACCCCGGTGACCATCTTGTCCACTTCATATGTGGAGGAACCCCCAGGATAGCATACCTGACAAGGGGAATGTGTGGAAGGCACTTCAGAAAGTGTCTTATACCCTTGTTAAAGGCAAGCTAGTATTACTTTGCAGAGAAGGAAACTGAGGCCCAGAGAGTTGAAATGACATATTAACGGAAAGGCTGAGGAGGGAAGCCCAGAAAAGAAAGTGTGGTCTGAGTGGTGAGTGTGTAGCAAACAGAGCCAAGCCTGCTAGAAGACATGAGTTCTAAACTCGCCTCAGATAGCAGCTATGTGACCCTGGACGAGTCACACAGGGTTGATAATAGCAACCACCTCACAGGAGGCTCTAATGAGATTGTCTGTGTCGAGTTCCTGGCAAACCTTAAAGTAGGTCTGCATGTGAGTTGTTATTACCCAGAGACAGGAGACTGACTCCCATATTCTCCCAAGGCTTCTCCTTGGTTGGCTTTACGGGGCACCTCCAGTCTCTTCCCTTCCACGCTGAATCTTAAGGGAAGCCAGGGATTCCAAGAGATGATGGTAAGGATTTCAGGCTGAGAACAGCCTAGTACCGAGGGACGGAGGGAGTGAGCGGTAAGAAGGCTCTATCAGGAAAGGAACCACACACACCCCTTGGTGATAGCCAGTGACCCGGGGCGTCATGATCAAACCAGCCTAGCGGCAGGAATTTTGGAAGCCTTAAAACCAGGTAAAGAGCAGCCGAAAACAAAACCTGTAACTTTGGTTCTACTCGAAACGACTCAAATTCCACAGTGAGAATTTCTCAAAGGTTTTCAAAGGATCACACGGTGAGAGGAAGGAGCACCCATGCTCATCTAATCCAGCCCTCTGGTGAGATAGAGGAGGAAACCGACATCCACGGTCCTAGAGGTCCTAAGTGGCAGAGAGAGGGGGCACGTAGAAGACTCTGCCCA